CGACTTGAATGGTGTTTACTACTGTGCTCATACTGTGGGTAAAATCTTTAAAAAGAATGGTAAGGGATCCTTAATTATAACATCTTCCATGTCTGGTACAATTGTCAATGTTCCTCAGTTGCAAGCTGCTTACAATGCTGCCAAAGCTGCTTGTACTCATTTGACAAAATCTTTGGCCGTCGAATGGGCTCATTTTGCTAGAGTAAACAGTGTTTCACCGGGTTATATTGCTACTGACATTTCTGACTTTGTTGAAAAGGATATGAAGGCTAAATGGTGGCAATTGACGCCATTAGGAAGAGAAGGCTTGACACAGGAATTGGTTGGTGCTTACTTGTACTTGGCATCGAATGCATCGACTTATACAACTGGTGCTAATCTTATCGTCGATGGAGGTTATACATGTCCTTAGAAAGTTTTATAGAATAGACTTTTAAAATTAAATGTACACACAACAACACCTTCGAGAAGAAAATCTTCTGAACTAAAATATAACATCGTCTTCAGTCTCTGTCAATACATTACCCTTGGCATCAGCTCTAACATCAAATTCTTCAACGTCTCTTTGCACACCTACTTCATCGGTTGTACCCTCAGCTTTGGCTAACTCCACTTTATCTTCGGCTTCAGCGACTGCAGCTGCTTCCTGTTTCTTCTCCTGAACCTTCTTCAATCTATAAAACTCTTCTCTATCCAACTCATCCAATTCGGAATTGATATATGCGATGGTATTTTCCGTTCTGGGAATAATGACATGTTCAATTGCATTAACTCTTCTGTTTGTAACCTTGATGACCTCATCCAAGATGATGAATGCCGTTTGCAATGATGCCAATTCAACCAACGTTTCAACAGCTTTGGTGTAAACCTGCTTTGCCTTCTGTACTTGTTGACCGCCTCTACCCAACCCAGTCAATTGGAAATCGTTTATCTCTTCATTTATAGAACTTTCAAATGTAGGCAAGTATACACCGGAAACGTTTTCTTGTTTGGCTTTAACTTGGAATCTTGCTTTATTAACTGATTCTTGTACTTGATACCCGATATTGTCACCGGTGGCATACGAAACTTCTGCTAAGGAAAAGGCTGCTGTTTGCATAACTCTACCCATTTTTGTCTTTGCGTTGTCGATTCGTTGTGTTATATCTCTGAATCTCTTGGTCAATGCTTCAGATTTTCTCTTCAACAAGGAGTGACCTTGTTGGGCTCCTTTCAATTTACTCTTCATAGTTCCCAACGTCATACGTGTGGGAAACACCTGTTCACGATTACCGGCTCCTGACATTCTGAATGTTTAGACAGTTTTCTCTGTATATGTGTATGTGTGTGTGTGTGTTGAATTGCGAGGCTTGTGTTACCAGTAAACTGCTCGTGGTTGAGAGATTGTCGAAATGAATTTCTGATAAACTTTTTGCTTTTCTTTGCGGAATTATCAAAAAAAAAAAAAAAAAAAATAACGCTTTCTCTATCTTGCAACAACTACATAGAAAACCAGCATCACTGCAACAATGATATAATGATTAGTGTAGACGAAGTATTGAAAGATGAAGATCTCCACTACGAGGTTGCACTTGCTAAAAACGAGAAGGATTTAAATACTTGGGAAACATACTACCTGACTAAATTGAACGATGCCCTACCAGCCAAGCTTTCCCTCATCTCGAGAGCAGTCAAGGCATTATCTAACTCGGAAGATCTTTGGATCAACTATTTAAACTTGGTTGATACGAACTACGAATTGATGCTGATACAGGATATTAAGCTCATATTTGACCAGTGTTTAACTACTCAATCTAAATCAATAACAATTTGGTTAAAGATTCTTGAAATTTTAATCGACCATGCAATTGACCAGGTTACATATGTACGGCACAAGTTTAATCAGTGTTTACAAAATGTGCCAGTTCAGGACCATAGTAAAGTATGGGTATTGTTTATCAAGTTTGGTGATATTATTGAAGGTCCAACTGGGATCGAAGTTTATTCGCGATTAATGAAATTTGCCAGTCCCGAGGTGCTTAACGGTAGTCAAGTTGGAGAAAAGGAGGAGCTAAATCTAACCATTTTGGACTTTATTGACAAGTTTGTCGAATTAGGTGGCGATGATACACACGTGTTGAAGTTGTATTCAGACATTGTTCACTCTAACGGATACTCCAATTTGCCAAAATCTCAAGTCCTGATACTTTTTGAGTATTTGGACTTGCTTATCAAGAACTCTGCAAAAGATAAGGAGTTTGAATTGGAGATAAACAAAGCTATACAAAAGTACCCTGATCAGACAACTAATCTACAAATGAAATTTATTGATTTTTACAAACTGAAAAAAGGCAATTTTGCAAATAAAATTAGAAGCATATATCAGCAGGCAGTTAAGGACTGCAAGACCGTGTATGACTTTGAAAAAGCTTATAACGGATTTACTAAATTTGAAGAAAATGACATTGAATCCTACCTTGACACCAAATCTAGTCCCGATACAACTATCCTATCGCAAAAGTTAACCGCCTTTGAAAAGCTTTTAAACGACAGACAATTGCTAATAAACGACTTGCAACTTCGTCAAGATATAAACAATGTTGACTACTGGTTTGATCGGTTTGGTATTTTCCAAAATCAGCTAAATGTAGTAATTCAAACCATTGCCAATGCCATTAAATCAATCAACCCATTGAAAATACCGCGTAATTGCCATCACAAATTATACGAGATTTGGATCAAATATGCTCAAATTTACGCTTCGTCGTCGGATTTCAAAACTGCTGATTTCATCTATGGCAAATCAATTCAATCTCAATACCCTCACCCTAATGAATTAGCCGAGTTGTACATCAACTGGAGTGAAATGCGATTGAGTCATGACTATTTCCAAGAACTGGATGCAATTGAACTATTGGAAGATGTATTGTATAGAGAATCGGCAAATGATGTCGATATCAACTACTCTGATTCTTCAATCCCAGTCCAAAAACGAATTCGAAAACTGATTCAACTTTGGGACTTTTATCTTGATTTAGTGGAATCATTTATTGAATCCGCCAACGATACAATCTACATTGATAAAGTGTGCCAAGCTTATGAAACGTTGATTAAGTTGAAGATTGCCACTCCTAAGAAGATAATGGCTTATGCTCAGTTTTTAGAAACTTGGGGATATATTGAAAAGTCATTGAGTGTATATGAACGATGTCTTGATATTTTCAAAGATGAGGCTATTAGATTGGAAATTTGGAGAATTTATATCACCAAGTTGAAGTATATTGACCATAAGGAAAGAAGAAAAGATATTGAGGAAAGGTACAGGGAGGTGGTTAAATATAGAGGTAAATAGGGCTTGTATAATTTGCTGAGGTTTTAAATTTAATAAATGAAGCATCTGGATTTGTACTCGGTATGTCAATAAATTACGAACACTTTACGGTTTGATTAAACTTTAGAGATTAAAACTAAAATTCTACTTTATCTTTACAAGACTTTGTTGCAAAATTTAAAAAAAAAATTCAATATGAACTTTTCAAAGCTTAAACTCTATAATGGGCCTAAATATAATCTAATGCTAAACTAAAACTTTTGAACTCACTTGAACAAGCTTTGAGTCTCAAAATAAAGTGCCTAATGACTCAAAAATTCCTACTGAAAAATCTTGTTTTTAAAGGCAGGCGTTGTGACTAGCGCAAAAGTTTTTATAAAATATCCCAGATAGTTTAGTGGCTAGAATTACCGTTTGTCGCATGGTAGACCAGGGTTCAATTCCCTGTCTGGGAGCTTCTTTTTTTTTTTCGTTTATTCTTCTTTTTTCCTCTTTTATACCCTGGTGTCAGCCCAGCTCATTACCATTTAGGTACTTCTCCAAACTTGAAATATCTGTGCTCATGTAGAGTTGCTTACAAAAGAGAAGTCATTTCCTTATTTTAACGTTTTTCAAAGAAACAATAAAATTAAACGATATACAAACAAAAAAAGGAAAAAAAACTAATCAACCCAAACAACACCGATCATAAACCCTCTTTTTAACAACCTCATAAAAAAATAGCCTTTGACGTAATCTATTATAAAACCCACATTTGTGATCCAACCTTCTCTTTCCCTGCACATAATATCGTACCCTATCATATCATAAGCATATCTGCTTAGCGTTGCACTTTTTCGTTTCCCCGTTTATCCAAAATGATTTGATGTCCATCTGGCAACAAATTTCTCTAAATTTAATCGTTGATCAGAACAATTGTTAATTCGAATTGATTTATTCATTTTGACTAATTCATCATATGAATTCCATCCAATATGGAAATTGATGAAAATAGTCTTGATAAACAGTTTGATCAATTTCAGGTTATTTTTTAATTTAGTCTTGGTTGATTGTGAATTGACAACGAGTAATGTTAATAATTTAGTGACAATTTCAATGCTTGCTGACGTGTGAACAAAATTGGTTCCATTCTGATCTTGATCTTGATCTTTGGCATTATCATCAAGTGGCTCAAATTTACCTTGGTCAACGATCGGAGTAGATGGTGCTGATAATGATAAGGGTAATGAATCATTAAATTGAAGCATTAATCTAAACGTGTCATTGAATGTTAATTCACTTGTTTCCCCCGAAGGTGCTTTGTAACTGCTAGTGAATTCACGATTGAAAATTTCTTGGTTGATCAATTCTAATAAGCAATATATGTCAATCACTGATTGGTGGGGGAACATGACTAGAATGATGGGTATTGTTGAGTGATCCTTTTCCGATAATCCTGTTTCACTCATACTTTTAATGTACAAAAGGTGAATGAAATTAGTTTGAAACTGACTCATATCTACCCCTGAACTGGCAATCAATGGCTTAGATAAAACCGAGTCCATGATTTTGTTGAATTCACGATTTTTGCTTTGTTTCATCACCTCAGTTAATCCTTGCAATTTTTGATCAAACAATTCAAACAGGTTACGAATTGTGTTTATTGAATCCTGCGACGAGTAATTATTCGACAAGATTTTGAGCAAGAATTGAAATGCGAGGCTTGCAGGAACGTTGCAATCCCAGGCTAGTTTTCTCAATTGATTCTTTTCACTAGTAAATTTTTTGTTAAATTGCTTGGTATCCAAATCCATTAAAGAATCTAGATTTTTGATCCATTGTTGTTGATGAAGTAGAGCTGTTTGTACAGTCTTGATCCTTGAGTCATGCTGAGTTTTAACTATGGTTTCAAACAGACTTAGACTTTTGGTAAATTCTCTATTGTGCTTTGTGATGTCAACTGATGATTTTGGGGGCAAATTTATTGGTCTAGTTTGATCGAGAAAATTCAATTTTTCGGGTGAAATCAAATGCAAATCTTCCAATGACGATTGCGATTTGATAAATGATGGCAACTTGTACATCAAGTTCTGTTCTCTTGTCATTTTAATCAATTTTGAAACCGAGGCACTCTTTTGGGAGTAAAAATCGGAAATGTTGGCAGTGATTTCCGAATCGTCGTCAAAAGTAGATTCATCTTCTTCTATTATACTGTCTTCATTGTTTGCATGAACCGTTGGCAAATTAGTGGTGCTCAACTTTCCTGGCAATGGACATGGTCGAATATTGTACTTGTCATTGTCATCTCCCACCAAGTCATTTCTCGATAGTATAGTTACTGTGCTTGATGAGCCCGAATTTGATCTCGACTTTGATTTACCAAGGTTAGTACTACTGCCCTTTTGTAACGAGTATAGTTCATTATTTTTAATCACAGGAACATTGAAAATCAAACTATCCAAATCGGTTGATAAAATTTCTTCATCGTGGTCATTCTCTTCATATTTCTTCTTTCTCAACATCTGACGTTCCTTGCTTTCTTGTGAGCTCAAGAATTTCGACTTGCTACGATTCAAAGTTGGAACTGTGGTGACTGATTTTGACCGTTCCTTCTTTGGTGGAGGTTGTGGCACTGGGAAAGTTTTCAATACATTGGTTGTTGAAGCAGCTTTTAAAGCTCGTGGTTTGAAATTTGAGGGTGTTTTGGCTAAAGATATCGTTGAGTCATTGTCAACTAAAGAAACCTTTGATTCAAAAGCTGTTGTTGATGATGAGGAAGTCATTGAGCTTAACCTAGAGTCTGTTGGTAATGGTGGCTGAGACCCATGGTTATGTTGAGATTGTGTAGTGCTCGAAGTAATAGCCGAACTTGTACTTGCAACAGGTGCATCAAACGGTGACGACACGATCAGGGAATGATCTTCAAAGGAAGAGGAAGAAGATTGCACAGACATGAGCGAGTCTTGAGACATTCTTCTTCTATTGTTGGTTGGAAGTGATGTAGCTGATGCTGATGATGGTGCAGGATTAGGAAGTGGTTGACTTTTGTTCAAGTTTAATGAAGACTTGGAATTTATCTTTTGAATGTAGTAATCACCAGGCCTCTTCGGTATATTTGGAACAGAAGCAATGTGTTCATTCAATGTAGGTAAGGAAGTCCTTGAAGCAACTCTTTTAGGAGTTGGGCACGTACCACCACCACCACCCATCTTTGACGGAGGCGGTGGAACTGATGGACATGACAGTTTTCTTGTATTGAGTGATATATCATACAAGTTATGACTGTTTATGGTAGTGTTGGACATGGCGACGACGTGAAATTTACAAATGGTTAGCGAAAGTGGCGGACTAAAAAGTAAGTGGGATTCTGTTTCTGATTTAAATAAATAGTTGCAGTTGAAGCTAGGGGGAGTGGGAGCAATATTTTGGTTGTCTCTAAATTCTTGCAACCAAGTTCTCAAAAGTGTGATATAATTGAAACAGTATTCGATAGTAGCTCAATATTAGGAGGATCCTGATTATATATATATAGCTATTACTCAACTGGATGATATAGATATAAATGACCCGTGCTTGTGGAAAAAGTGATTCTTCTAAGGACGTGGTGATATATATCTATTCTGTTTTTAAAGCGAGTGTAGATTTTTGTTGAGTAGTATCGGGTAGATGGGTTTGATGGTGCTGCAAGAGAGTTTCTCTTTTAAGCTTATCTGTGGTATGCGGTTGTGTAGTGGTGTAGTGTTGTGGTTGTGTAGTAGGAAGTTGTCTATAATTATATGGTTGCCAGAGACAGAGAGATCTGTGGAAAGATTTTGAAATCTGAGTTTCTCTTTAGGAGAGATCTCTTCGTTGTGTGTGTGTGTGATTTTTCTTATTTTATTTTTTTTTTAAAATTCTGTTTTGCTAATCCTGCATATAAACCTTTGAATTGTTTATTGTTCTCTCTTTATATATTTGGTTACATAGTAAGACAAACACAATAACACAAACTTACGTATAATGTAAATAGCAACAAACGGTAGTGTACCTGTTTATTAACCTTTTATATAGCTACAAGAAGAAGACTTAGTCATCTGTAAATCATACAACTTCCTACTAATGCCTCTGCATGCTTATTCCTTCAGACAAAACAAACAAACGTATTGTTTCAATTAATTCCAAATGTTCTTCTTTTGCTGACTGTTGCCAACGAAAGAAGGAAAAAAAAGTATGGATTGTTTTCCTTCAATGCTGGTTCGGAGAACTTTGTTGTTGTTATATTAACCCATTATGCATTTGTGTTTCGTTCTCGGGTTGGTAAATATAGCAATCGAGGAACTCCTTTCCAATCCTATTGTTATAGTTATTTTTATTTTTTTTACATTGTTAGGGCACTCATACTTTAACGTGCCTCGGCTTAAAACATTCTTTGCCAAAAATAGCACAAAAATATTTTAATTGGGAAAATTGAGCAGAGAAAACATTTATCCTTCCTATAGAGTAGAGTGGAGGGGCGGGGGCTTATCTATCTTTGATTGAAGACCGGTAGAGAAGCTGTAGTGGTATCTGTATCCGACGTTTCCACCGAGAAACAGATACAACAGACAGTTGCACTTCTTACATCTCGATCTCTCTTCTCTCCTGTGTACTATTTTTAATGTTGTGTTCTAGTACAGTTAGTTTCAAAATCACCAAAAAGAGACTGAACGTATATTTAGCAACTTCAACCATCTAGAATGAGAGAAGGTGCATGTACAAAGTTCATACAATTTCAAATTTACCAACAAGAATTTCAGGATTCCTCGAGACAGGGAAGCAAAATAAGGGTGAAACACAAAACCAATAGAACATAATATGTAGTCTATATAATAAAGGTGAAATCAGCGTGTAGCAACTGTACCATAACAATTAATTAGCAACTACTACAGTGATAATAATAGGGAGAAGGGGGGGGGAGTATACCCAAGTCTATTGCTGGTACTACTACTTTTAAACAACAAGAGGAAGGTCGTGTACAATTGGGTATTGTTTACTTTTAGAATATGAAAGGAGTGTACTGTATATAAGAATATGTATAACAGCAACTGTAAAATAGTGAGTTTGTGTATTTACACAGAAATGGATAATCGTAATCTTCTAATTAATAATAGAAAAGTTTCTTTTGTTTAAACGACCACTGAGCCTGACTCAGTAATGCCAATTACTACTTTAGGACATTTCCCACCATTCTTACTTAAAAAGATTATCTCCGATTATTTGTCGCCGTATCTTCATAGCAACAAGAGATCAATAGATAGCTCTTCCCCTCTCCAACAACAACTGCTTTATGGAGTACAATTAACATTCACAGACACCTTCCTTATCAAACAGGATGCATAGATAGAAGATTACCCCTTAATTTATTCTTTTTTTCCACATTTTTGCAACTTACAAAGCAACAAAGTCTCCTAAAATCTTGGCATCGGAATTTATTATCGAATACGACCACACACTCTCTTGTTTTTTCTTTCTAAGTTGACAGTAAAAGAGAAGCCACAACCCATTCCTCACCTTCTGTTTTACTCAGTTTGTCATGTTCGAGTCAACTATTACTCTAAACAAACCATTACAACTACAACTACAAAGTGAAACAAACCATTCGAATCGTTCTTATTATAAAAAGCGGCACCACCACACACCTCACATAAAATCAAATCTAACCGTACCTTGCCTTGCTTTGTTCTACAGTCATTGCTTGGCATGCGCTTTTGCTCTATTGTAGCTTATCAAAGAAGAAAGGCTGATTAAAACGTTATGATCAATTTTTTGTTCGATTCAGTAACAAAATCAGAAAACAAACTGAAATAGATGCGACGCAAAAGACGCGTACACCGCTATATTGTCATTTTCCTTTTTCCATTTTAGATTTTTGGTCCGTGTCTCTGTAATCCACTAAAACGTACATACATTGTTTCCTTTTTAAATGTTTCAGACTCACTTGTTTGGCTCAACTTTGTCACACCAAGGGAGATCCAAATTTTGTAACAACAAACTACTTTGCATTTACAATTGAAAGTTTGACATAAACGCGACGCGCTTTCATGATATTCTTTTCCTTTTTGTTTTTTACCAATTAGGCGAAGTAATGGATCGTAAATTTGAAACGTGGAGTTGTCACTAGCTTTAATTGGGTTTAAGAGTTTTCGTTTCTAGAAGCTGATTTACTGATAGTGTCGAGACTGGAGGGGATAGAAATAGATATGCCACTGCCTTAAAAAATATGCAATCACTTTCTTTTCTTTCAGCAAAAGTAATAACATATATCTAACATTGTATCTATAAATAAGTGAAACCTTTCTATAAGTCTAACCATAAAAAGACCGAAAGTAGAAATATCCCAAAAATGAAGTTGTCTTTATAGTTCGGGTGTTCTTGTAGTCCACCTCCACTTATCTCTCCCCCTTACTAATCCTGCCCGTGCTCGATCCACTCCGTAGTACTCATTTGCGACAAACGACTCAAGGCTCGAGCAAATGCAAATCGTTCTTCATCATTAGCAAACATATTTGCCTTTTTCGCAATTGATTTATCAAATCCATGCTTAGTCACCAACTCATCATCCTCAAAAGTTTCTTCCACTCCTTTATCCTTTTGCCGTTTATACAATTGATAATTGCCCTCAGCCAAATCTTCCGGCTCAACAAATAAATCCTTGAATGGGGCGGCACAAGTCACGGCCAATCGACCATGCGAATCATAAACTGCATCTAAAAACGTGATAAACCGACGCACTTCATTTCTAGCGTCGATGCTGAGATAGGGAATATCGGTGATTATAAATGAATGAAACAGTTCAGCAAGAGTAAGGTAATCACCAGCTGATCTTGGGGTGCCACATAGTTCAAAAAATGTAAATTGGGCCACATTGGGTGGCGAACAATATGGAATGGGAATTTTCCTGCCCCATACTTCAAGATTATAATTTGTTAATTTATCCTGACACTTGGTGTTGCCATCATTAAAATACTCATACCATTGCGCCACATGCTTGGCACAATTGGCCCGATTGACTTTGGAATCCCATTTGACACCCGGTTTAGGATAATAATACACTGAACTAATTGGCTTGGGCACTTTTCGATAATCAGTAGGCGAATTCAAATAAATGACTCGACATTTGTGTTTAATCAACTGGATACAGGGGATAAAACTAACTCGCTGGATTCCATTGAGGTATAAATCATCAGGAGCTCGATTACTAGTGGCAAATAAAACCACACCGTAATCGGGAGATAATAGCATCATGAGCAACCGCCGTAACAACATGGCATCAGCCACATCAGTCACTTGAAACTCATCAAAACATAAAATAGTTGAATCACGAGCAATCTCCGCCGCCAATATAGGAATCACATCGATATCATCGTGCTCCTCACCTGACTTCAGCTTCGAACTATATTTCATCTTCAACTGATGTGTACGTTTATGTAAATTTTGCATAAATTGATGGAAATGGACTCGTTTTTTATTCAAGTGCAGTGGCACAGTTTGGTAAAACAAATCCATCAACATCGTCTTACCACACCCCACGTCTCCATAAAGATAAATACCCTTGACATTGCCATCACCATCGCTTGCAGTAAAGTCATAATCAGAAGCTCCTACTGTACTAGAGCCACTCCCACCACCATTGCGACCGAAAAACGATGAAAATGTCTTTACGAGAGAAAACTTGGGTTTCAAGTCTTTATAAGTGGGTATTTCAACTTTGGGCGGCTGGTAGTCATTCAAAAGTGTATGCAATTGTGACAATGAAGTGATGATTTTATGTTGATATGGATCATCTCGCAATTTACCTTGTTCGACTCGCTTGGTATATAGCTCAAGTGGAGTTTGGAAATGGCGATGACTGGTTGTGAATTTTCGTTGTGGGTTTAGATGTCCATTGTTGGGTATCTGTTTTGTTTTGGGTAATATTGATTCGAGCCTAAGCGGAATTCTCAGTAGTATCATAGTATTGTCTCTTTTTTTGAGTAGTGATCCCCCCTATGTTTAAAATATGCCGTAAAAATATCTAGTAGGAAGTGTGTCTTTGTTATACGAATGAGTCGTAGTGCATTTGACAGTGTATGGTTTTGTATTTGGTGTCCAAAGACGACTAGTTTTAAAAATCTTTTATCTAAGCTAAATCTGGTGTAAAAAAGAAAACAGGTTTTGTTTTAGTTGACGCATTGTGGTTGGTGAGTTTTTCTCTTTTCAAATGTGACGTAATATGCAGTACCCAGCTTTTTTGATCAAAACTAATATCTTCATACAACAGAGCTTGTTTAAAAAAACACTAGAACATCCACCACAACCACTACAACCACCAACACCACTCTCACTGGCACAAGGATGTCAAAATCAGCAACGCCATCAACAACAACCTCAGCCGATCTTCACACCCTCCTGGATATCACCACTAAACCACATTCGTTCAAACGAAACCCCAATCGCAAACCAATAGGCAATAGACGCTACAAGCCCAGTCGACAATTAATATCGGATGAAATAAAGTATATCCAGCAAAAGGAAAACTTACCTGTTGATAAACCAACTTATATATCAGTGACTGCTCCCCCCAGCCTATTACCCAAGAAACATTATTGTGATATCACTGGATTAGAAGGCAAATATAAAAACCCTGCTAATCAATTACGATTTCATGATGTGGAGATATATCAAGAAGTTATAAAGAATATGCATCCTGGTGTTGATCAAGCGTATTTGGAACTACGTGGAGCTAATGTTGTATTAAAGTAAAAGAGATAGCATATATATATATATATAAGTGTGTATAAATGTATGGATTTCTTTGTTATATAAAACCATCAACTAGTTTCTTTACTCCTTCATCAAATTTATGTGAATTCAACACGTCCTCTTCTTCATTACCGTAATTTGCCAGTTCATCGTGTTCATTAGCTGTAAAATTTCTAAATGGATTACAAACAACTCTCAAATACAATTTATAAACGGATGTGATGAATTTATGCAAGTTATCTTGGTTTATCGTGGCACTCTGGTCCATCCCCACAACTATCTTTAATCCATTGTTTGATTCGTATCCATATACAATCACTTGGTCTTGAATGAACAAGAGTAAAACGCCATTCGAGTTTTGTTGTTGTTGTTGCTCACGTAATGCTAATGATGTAGGTGACGAAAAGATATCGAGCGCCATATGGCTGAAGAAATTGAATTTGAGAAAGTTGTTGATGGTCGTTGTCGGCTGTACTGACTTGTTGGTTTCTTCACCAGCAACTTCTACCTCTTCCTCGTTTGTGTCTTTTGCGATTGCATCGGTGTCCAGTAGAAACGATTGAATGTATAGCGGTTTATCGGTGCGCGATATTAATGATACAAATTGTACCGGGTTTTTGCGGGTCGATGTCATTGTTGGGATGTGAAGTAGGTGTTCTGTTGAGTTTGGCACAGCAGTGAGCCTATTAGTGCTTGGGATATGGCTTGGTTATGCACAGTCTATGAGAGAGAGAGAGAGAAATTTGATATTGATCCAAGTGTCGTGTCGCACTGAATCTGACACGACACCAAAAGGAGTGCAAGATGGATGTCCCCGTATGCGTTCACGTTTGAACAGTTGGAAGTTACCTAAGCTTCATAGAGTTTATTTACAAGGTCATCTAAGATTACCTCCTTTGACAAGGTGTAGACCACTTTTCGTTCTCAAGTGAAATTGGTAAACCACTGATGTTTGTTGCAGACCCAAAGTGTCTTGCTACCAAATTGCAACAAATATTTCTCACATGAATCGCTTGAAAGAGACATCGAATGAGGATGAATATCAACACATCAAGGTGCTGCCTACAAATCGTTAACATCCTATTTACATAGATACTAGCTTCACTAAGCTAGTTTTTGTCGTTGAGCTACAATATAGATAAACTTTGCTACAATTATATGGTCATTGGACATCAACTAAACATCCAATCCTTACACTGGATTTCAAGCATACTGGATCTTAAGGGGGAGAAACCATTAGCTGGGAAGTAATTCCAATGTAGTACCAATGTAGTAGTAGTGGTATAAGCGGGCCGTAGTCGGACAGAGTCGTTCAATTTCTCTAAGAAAACAAAGTACGCGTGGTGCGTCTTCATCTCATAAGTTAATTTTTTTCTTTTAGTCCTCTCTCCCGATGTCTCCTTTTGCACAAAACAACAGAAGATCGAGGAACGAGGAAATGTCCCGAGACATGCCGAAATTCCTATACCGAATAATCTTCCGTGAGAGAAAGAGAGTCAAAAAATTAGTGAAACATTGTTTGTAGAGCTCCTCTAGTGGTGTTAACTCTCAATCATATTATGGACGTTATTAAGAGACTTATTTTTGTTCCACTGTGCGCACCACCATAGCCACATTTGCCCACCAAACCCCCGCCACCACCAAAGAGAAAAAAAAAAAAAGAGAAAAAAAACAACAGTAGATTGAAAGTGGAATGGAGTGAGAGAGATCTTAACAATTCTTTCTGAATCACAATAGAAAAGTATGTATGTGTAATGGAGATAACAAAAAACAAAGCAAAAAATCATTACAACCAAAACACACACAAACCTACAATACGTAATAAAGCATTTAACTTTGGCTTCACTAAACGCCGAAACAAGGCTGTGAATTTTTATATTTTTTTGTTTTTTTTGTACGCGAAAAGTGGGTTAAAGACTGAAGTATGCTGATTTTGTAATGAAATTTGCCAAAAAGCAGACTTCGCCTTCTCTTTGTCTGACTATACACACAAGCATATATATGCCCTTTGTAGTATGTGTGTGTGTGTGTGTGTGTGTGTGTGTCTCTCTCTCTCTCTCTCTTTCTCTTTCTCTCTCTGTACATTTTGAATCAAGAAATAACTAAAAAACTAAACACAATAAAAGTTGATTGTTTTCTTTGTCTATCAATTTAAAAGGAACAAAAAAAAATATAACTGTGCCTTTTAATTTTTTTTTCCATCCCTTTACAAATTTTAGAAAAACTCAACAACTAAAAAAACACCCCCCCTCCTCCAAAACAAACCAGACTTTTATTTCAACAACCCTGTTTTCTTTCTGATATCTCTTTTTTTTTCTTAATTTTTTCTTACCTGAGTCAATAACAACAACCCACTCGCTACTACTACTATAAACTATGGCTATCTTTAGATCCAAATCATCTAACAAAACCCCACAGGAAGGGGGACACATGGACGTCAAGCTCACGCAAAAGGATGAGGAACAATATAAAGTGCACACCGCCAACATCCATGACCCCATCTTGACTGCCGTCAACGAAGCCCAACCATTCGAACAAGCTGCTCAAAGAGACACAAGGAGGCCATCGTACTTGTCCAATGATTCAGCTGATTTGAAGGATATATTTGGCCAACCAATTAGACAAACTGATATGTCGAACCCCACGAGAAATAGGAATGAGAGGCCTTTGGATACCATACGTGGGTTCGAGTATGCCATCACTGGTGACATGACTTACCGAGATCAATTGGAGAGTGGTCGTTTGGGATGGGGGTTCCATGAAGATTTTCCATACTATAACTTGAATGGACAAGGAGGAGCAGGCGGTCAAGATGAGGGACAGATGGGAGGAAGTGGAAGACCAGTGATTAATTTCGATGATCAACCAGTTTACCAAGCGCAGAACTATAGTGCTAGCTCTTTGCAGAATGATACTGGTAAGAAGAAAAAGAGAGGTTTATTTGGAAGGAAGAAGTAAGGCTAGCCTTTCACTCTATATAAAGCCATGGCCGATGAATACTCTTTGGTTATGTTTGTTTTATTTTGTTTAGTTCGTTTCATAGTCTTTTTCTTTTGTTTGAATGTATTTGATTTGGTAACAAGACCTTGGTTGTGTTGTAGGAAAGATGCACTCTAATTCCTACAGTACTACTACTACACGTACAACGATGTTTTGCTTTACATATAAAGCTGTAGCTTGAATCATATGTATATTGTTCGCTAATACGTTTTACAAAGGTTTCATGATTTCATCATACAACATCCGCTTCAACTCTTCAACACTCAACTCATCCTTCTTTTTATCAAAATCAAAGAAATCCTCGGGGATTTTTTCACTAACAGGCTCATCATTTGGATCATGATACAATTGTAAATACGGATGTTTCAATGCATCCTCCATGGTAATTCGTTTAGCAGGATTGAAAATAAGCAATTTTTCCAATAAATCCAACGCTAGTGGATTAATTTGTGAATTGACATTTTTAAACAACTCAGCAAAGGGAATCTTTTTACAAAATGGCAATGATCGGATATATTCACGGGCTCGTTTCGATTTGATATTGTAATAATCTTCCATATTGGGCGTACCCAAGACTTCCATAATTAACCACAATTGATTATGATAGTCTCTTCCAGGGAACAAGGGCCTACCACTCAACATTTCGGCCAAGATACATCCTACTGACCATACATCAATCGCCGTGGTGTATTCTTGGAAAGTCAACATAATCTCGGGTGCTCTATACCATCGAGTAGCAACGTATTCCGTCATGAATCCGAAATTATCCTCCAGCGACGCAATGCTTCTAGCAAGACCGAAATCACAAATCTTCAAGTCACAATTGGAATTAAGCAATAAATTCAGCGGTTTCAAATCTCGATGCAAGACATTAGCTGAATGCATGGCTTTTAGGGCTCGTAATGTTTGATAGGTAAAGTATTGTATATGGTCATCAGTTAAAGTTTGCGTGCGTATTACGCGATGTAAGTCAGTTTCCATCAATTCTTGAATGAGATAAATCTCATTAAAATGGGCATAATCATATGGTCGTTGTATGGCAAGTATCGAAATTATATTTTCATGATTGAAATGTTTCAAGAGTTTTAATTCCCGCAATGTTCGTAAACACAACATTGATCGTTCAAATGGTTCGATTTTCTTTATGGCAACTTTTTGTTGCGATGGCTTGTGAATGGCTGAACATACTATACCATAGGCACCTTCACCAACGATTTCCAAGATTTGGTAATGGTCAGACACGTTGAAAGACACTTGTCTTTGGGGTGTTTCTGGTTGTTGCTGTTGTTGCTGTTGTTGCATTTGTTGCATTTGCTGCATTTGCTGCATTTGCTGCTGTTGTTGTTGTAGTTGGGCTTGGTGATGCTGTTGCGGATGATGTTCAACGCTCATTTTCGGGGTGTATATCAGTTGATCTTTTTATTTTATTTTTTTTCTTGGACTTGTAGTGGGGAGAAGAACACTATGAAAAGAATGTGACTTGACCTTGTATTTTGAGCAGTAGAGTGCAATACAATACAGTAAATGGTCTATCGTTTGTCTATATGATTAAGCTGAGATGAGACTGGAAAGAAAGAAACAAAGAAAGAAAGAAAGAAAGAAAGAAAGAGGTTGGTTGAAATTTAGAGAAGTTCGTATGGCAAATTTAAAATAAAAAAAAAAGAAAAACGAAAAAAAAAAATTAAAATTAAAAATTGTTAAAAAGTCTTTTGTGTAATTTTGACTACTGATCATGTCTCTCTATGTCTCTATGCCTCTATGTCTTTATGTCTCTTGCTAACGGAATGTGACAGAAGCATATTCTTTACACGATATATATATATATATACATTTGGTGATTGAAGAGCATAATAAGCAAAAGAGTATAGTTGTTTCGTCTTATCGTCTAAGAAAGGTTTATTTGTTATATTTGGCGTATTAAAAAATTATTTGTCCTTTTATTTCATTTTGTTTCAGATGTACTTTTTAAATTTACTTTTTACCAATCATTACCCAATCATCACTTTACTTTACTTTACTTTACTTTACATTACTTTAGTTTACTTTGCAATACTATTTTATTTCTCATAACTCTCTTCTTTAAAAGGTTTGTATTTTTTATTTTTCTCTATTTGGCATAAAATGACAGACACGAAATTAGATAAACTAGTACATGTATTTATATATTTATATATATATATATATGTGTGTGTTTTAATAGAGAATGTGCTGTCTTTTCTATTTAGTGTTTTGAAGGAACCTTTTAGTAAATGTTTACACTGCTGTAAGTAATATGTGTTTGTACTTCTTTAGTATGTAATTTCTTTTTTTTTTTGTCTTTTTTAAGGTACCACCATCACCACCACCAACTGAACACGTTGTTGTTTAAGTCACACAATGCACACCCCAAATGCAAGAGAACACAATAAAACACAATAAAACACAAGAGAACGAGAAACACAAGAGAGAAGAGAGAGAAGAGACAGACGCGTCAAATGCACCTATTTTTGAAACCCAAATATTTTTGGATGAAATAATAATAATAAATTGTACCCCTTACAGCCTCCTTTCTTCCTTGCTTCCTTCATGTCTTACAACTTATACTTTAAACAGTTAAAACAAAAAGTAAAACTCAACTATAATGATTTTCGTTTATTATATGCCTAGTTATGGGTCTACAGATAACTTTTACGTACGAGAGATAACCCCTTCCCCTCTCCCCTCCCCCTTATTCATCCTCATATTCGTCGTCGTCGTCGTCGTCGTCGTCTTCGTCAATCTCAACTGCGTCACTTGTGTTATCAGCAATTGCACCATCATTTTCATCATCATCATCATCACTGAACACACTAACTGTTTTCGCTCTTGCTGGTGGTCTACTTGAGCGTCTTCTACTTTCCAACATCTGTGGTTTATCGCCCAACATGTCCAAGTCGTCCAACTCATCCAATACATGTTGTTTTGGCTTTGGCTTTGGCTTTGGCTTTGGCTTTGGCTTTGAGTTAGAAGTGGTGCTCTTGGATGTTTCGACATCTTTGCTACTACTACTCACTTCAAAAATGTCATCATCTGAATCTAAATCAAAGATCGAACTAGCAACAGGTCTGGCGGGCTTTGTAGATTTAGGAGGCTGACTAGTCGCTTTTGCTTTTGTTTGGGACTTACTTGAAGGAGAAAAAAATGAAAGAATGTCGCTTGGTTCCTTTTTCACCATTGTTTCGTTTGGCACTGGAGTTGATGAAGTTGTTGGCGTAGAGACCTCCTCTACGTTAGTTGAATTGACTTTTGGCTGTTTGGGTTTAGCAACTGTTTTCAGTGGGCCACCCAGCGCAGTTTGTTCGACCTTTACCTTTTTTATCGGTTCAGATTCAGACTTGACTGTTTTCCTCTTTCTTGTCTTTTTCTTGTTCCCACTGCTTGACAAATGCTCTCTTTCCTCAGCATCTTTCGCCAAAAACAACTCATACTCTCTCATAAACGCATCCAAATCCTGATTCCACAAATCAACCGCCGATTTGCCAATCAATATCTCCAATTCCTTTTGCAAGCCGGACTTTTCATTCAAAAGTTTGACATACCGTTCGTGCGTCAAGGACCAGATTGTCATTCCCAACAAGTAATCATACGATGAAAAGATTGTATCTGGTTTGTGCTCTCCTTCAACACGATCCTCAGTTCTCTTCAAGTTCAATGCCGAAACATCACCTTCGTTTTCTATCTCCTCTTCTGAGTCATTTTCATCGATAAACACATTGGCACCCTTTGATTCAACTGGCTTACCGTCCTTGGTAAACTTGGTGAAATCTCGCTGCCCGAGCAATTCAATCAAGTCTTTCTTCTTTTTGTTTGCCACCGACAACTCCTTCTCAATAATCATTTTCACAAATCTCGCTTGCTCAGAAATCATCAACAACTTCCGCTGCAACATCTCAAGCATGTGGTTCTTTCTTTTTTCGTAATATTCTAAACGGACATAGTAAAAATCTTTCAAGATTTCAAACACATTGTTGTACTTTTTAATTCTTCCATACGGATCAAAAGCAACCATATTGGCCAAACTTACCGACGAAACCAACTTGAACTTCTCCAATAACCCAACCTTCAATGCTTTTTCCATTTCGGCATCGCTCAATTTAACAATAAATTTGATCGATGTCGTATGATGTTCCTCCATATCTTTGATCCAGGCAGGTGTCTTTTCGTTACCAAACCCAGCCAATAAGAATTCCTTAACAGTGTTGGTCCAAGTCTTTACTGGGATTTCAGTAATTTCAACTGTATTGTTATCAATTTGTTCAACCCTACCGCTAATCTTGTACTTTTGTTGTCCCATAGGCTCAATATCACCTTCCCATCCTTTGTACCACGGCGTCATCTCTTCCAATGGTTCATTATTCATAAGTCTCTTTAAATTGGCAACGATGTCCTTTGGGTCAAAAGAAGGGATGTTGGTTGACCACCCAGTTCCAATACCTTCTGCCCCATTGACCAAAATCATGGGCAAGACCGGTAAATACCACTGTGGTTCAACAGTCTGCTCGTCATCTTGCACGTAGTTATAGATCGGATTATCCAATGGGTTGAAAATTGCCTTGGTAATTTCATTCAACTCGGTAAAGATATATCTCGCAGCAGCAGCGTCCTTACCACCAGTTGCCCTCGAACCGAACGCACCATTTGGTTTTAAAATGTTGACGTTGTTTGATCCCACAAAGTTCTGCGCAAGCCCAATGATTGTTTGCACCAATGAAACCTCACCATGGTGGTATCCAGTGTTTTCACTTACATATGCCGCCAATTGCGCAACCTTGATTTCACTCTTGAGATTTCTCTTGAAACAACCAAACAATACTTTTCTTTGACCTGGCTTCAACCCATCTAGTACAGACGGGATAGATCTGATATTGTCAGACATGGAGAACAAAATCAATTCCTTATTGATAAATTCACTTATAGGTATTTCATTCAATTCAGGGTTCAACTGGTTTCCAGGAACAAAGTTTTGCAACCATTCTTTTCGTTCATCGGCCTTCTTTTTCGAAAATGCCAAATCAATGTAGTTGCTATCTTCGCCTTGCAACGCGTGGAATCGCTTCAAGTGCTTATCCAAGGCCGTGAAATACTCTCGTGCTTCCATTGGTGTTGAAGTACCCAACCCCTTGTAGTACTTTTGAGTCCAGCGGCACGTTTGTCCTTCTCCATCTCTCCACGCTTCAAACTCCGGCATGCTATAAAATGGAATCACCTTTTTGGCACCGCGACCTTTTACAGTTACCTTGACGATTGGCGTAATAAACTCAAGCAAAAATCCAGGAATATCAAGCAAACCGGGAAATGAGGTTTCCAAAAAGTTGATAATCAATCCCTTTATATGTGAACCATCTTGATCTTGATCTGTCATGATCATTATATGACCATATCTTAACGATTTAATATTTTCGGCTGTGTATGCTTTTTTGTGCTGAAGACCGATAATCTGTTTCAACGAATTGATTTCGGTATTCTTCGCAATTTGATCGGCTGATGCTTCACGAACGTTTAGCAATTTGCCTCGCAAGGGGAAACAACCATAATAATCTCTCCCAATAACCGTGAGCCCGGCCACAGCCAAGTTCAAAGCAGATAACCCTTCGGTAAGAATCAAGGTACATTTTAGACCATCCTTTGTACCTGCTTTATTTGCATCAACTAAGTTAACCTGACCTTTGATACGCAGCTTCCTGCTTCCATCCACCTTTTGCAAGGCTTTGTCTTCATTGGCATTGGCAATGTCACGAATCTTTTCAGCAATCCCCGTTTTCAATATACGACCGATTAAGTTATCGGAAGCAACAAATTTTTCTTTACCACCAAATTGAGACACTTTCGTGGTAAGTTGTTCTTTTGTTTGCGAGGTAAATGCAGGGTTCTCAATGAGACAGTTGATAAAGATAAACATGTTGTCTCTCACCTCGTTTGGCTTAATCATCAACTTTTTCTTACCCTTTTCCTTTTTTGACAATGTTTCAATCAATTTGGTTATGATTTGATCAGAAACGTACTTGACATGGGTGCCACCAGCTGTTGTGGCGATGGAATTCACGAAACTTACTTGGTTGAATGTGCCATCACTGACTGCAAACGCCACTTCCCAACGGTCGTTGAATACTTCATGCACGATTGTGGTGTGGTTTTTGATAACAGCTGTGTCTCCTCCTTCAGGCTCGGGAGATCTTTCCTTTATTGCTTTGACGTACATTTCCACATAGCTTTTGAAACTGTTAACTGCTAATCGTTTATCATTGAGGTATATGTTACAGCTCTTGACAGTACCGCATAGATCGTACACCCTTCGTCGCAAAACCGATAACAAATCGTCATCCAAGCTATCCATTTCGAATTTACTCAAGTCCGGTTTGAAGGTGATCTTGGTGTATTCCTTTTTGGTCTTTAGTGCAGTAATTTTTGGCTTGCCAACTTTAGTCATATTGTCGGTCCAAGTTTGTTTGTACAATTTACCAGTGTTCAAATCAGCCGTTTCTACTTCGAATTGGGTGGAAAAGATGTTACACAATTTGGCACCAAACCCATTTCTACCACCAGTAACCTTCTTTTGATCATCGTCATAATTCGAAGATGTCAACAAGTTACCAAAGATCAATTCCGGGATGTACATTTTTTCCTTGGTGTGCATCTCTACTGGAATACCTTTACCGTCGTTAAACACTTGGATAATGTTATTTTCAGGATCGATTCTCACCTTGATATTCTTCATCGAAGGGTCTCTAATCTTGTTATCAGCGGCATTTACTAGAATCTCATCAAAAATTTTGTAAAGCCCAGGAACAATTGTGACTTCCTGATACTTCATTGACTCCGACTCCGAATCAAAACACCACATTTCCATTTTGGTCTTTTCAACAGAGCCAATATAAGTATCGGGTCTCTTTAAAATATGCTCCAACTGAGAAAGTTTTTGATAAGTCTCGGAAGCATTGGAGGTTTTTGCAGTTGAATTTGTTGACGCGTTGGCAGAAGAGTTTAAGGACGTGTCTGTTAGTGGTTGTTTCTTTTGTTGCTTTGTCTTTTGCACCTTTTCTGAGCTGAATTCTTCATTATAGCTCGAGCCTTCAGAAAGGTAATCAGATTCATCTGAAGCTTCTGACATGTTGAAGCCGCGGTGTACTCTTGCAGTAAGAAAAAAGAAACGGGTGGTGTGCTTCCCTCTCTCTTCTTTTTTTTCTCTTTTGCTTTGTTTATACTCTTTGGATCAAAGTGAACACAAAATAGATTCCTCGCGTTTCGATCTAATCACCAAAGTAGAAAGACTCAATTGTGTATAATATAGAAAGCAAAAAGGTGAACTACTGACCACTTCAACAATTTTCACATACACCAGTTACCTCCTTTAGGACAGTGAATACTTTTCAATCATATTGTGTATGTATTGTGTATGCAAAAACTATATAACTCTACTGCTCATTTGCAGCAGCTACTTACTCTTTTTCAACATTTCTGCTTGAATTCGCTCAAATTCGTCATCATCAATGTCTTTTGAGGATCTCTTCTTGCCTCGCTTTTTGCCGTATTTCGCCTCTAGGTTGGAAATCAACCCATCCAATCGGTTATTTTGACGGCTTTTGATCAAACTTGCCAAATCCTGTGATTTCTCATTCTTTTTTTTCAACTGCTTCTCTAACTCCTCTGCCTCTTTAGCTTCTTTGGCCAATTTCTTCAACATGTTTTTCACTTTAGTTTTCCTGCTCTTCGTATACTTTTCCCAAGACTTTGTCACAGACTTTTCCACTTTCAAATGGGGGAGTTCTTGCTCAATGATTTTATATACACGCTCTTCCTCGGATTCAGTAAAGTTCAAATGAGGAATCACTTCAAACAACTTTAGGAAATCGCCTTCGTAATAGATGAAATTCGAGATAATGTCTTCTTTCTCCTCTTCCGAGTTTTGGTACTTGACCCTGTCCTCTTCTATCATGTCAATAGTAATTCTCTCATTCATCGATTGGAAATACTCCTTCCAGTCAAACCCCTCGTCATCGTAATCTTCACTAAACTCTGACAACGAACCCAAAGTATCGTATCGGTTCCGCTTTACTGGGTCACTCAATATGCTGTATGAAAATTGAATTTTGGTGAATAGTTCCTCTTCAGAAACTGCCTCCGAGCCACCATCTTGGTTTAATTGTTTGATCTTATCAGGGTGATGCTTCAAACATAGTTTCTTGTAAGTTTTTTTTATTAGTATTGGGGATGCATCTTTATCAACACCCAACACTTCATAAGGATCTATATCTGGAAACGGAATACCCATGATAATGTGGCAAATTCAGCAGTATTCGATATTTGTTTCGAAATGAAGCCTTTAGTGCAACATCGAGTGATTTGAAGAAAACAAATTTTTTGATTTTTGGTGAGGGAAGAGAAACGCGAGGGAAAAGAAATTGGCTCTAACTGCCACGGTTATCGGAGGGCAGTTATAGGGGAGTAAAAATACCACTACAAATCACATCGCAATACATCTGTTGCTACAAATAATCCCATTACAGTAATCAAAGTTTCCACTTCCATCACCAGATTTATACCCCACTCATTTACTTGTGCTTTTCCTTTAAACGTTCAATTTCTCTGTAGGCTCTTTCCAATTCTTGTTTCAACTTCTCGTTAGATGCACTCAACTCAGAGACCGCTTGCTCAGTCAATAACTTTTCTAAAGTCCATTTCTCAATATTGTTGTTCTCATTTTCTTTCAATCTTTTGATATATTCTACTGCTCTTTGCAAGATTTGTGTCTTGTTTGTGTCCCTTGTAGGAATCAATTCAGCCAATTCCTTGATACCGATATTGATTGCTTCTCTTCTGCGTCTTTCCACTTCTTTGTGATTGTCTTTTCTTTGTTTATGCCATTCTTCTGTGCCATGTTGTGGCTTGCTTGAATTGGAACCTTGATAGTCACTACCAGGACTTCCAGGATGATGTTCAAGTGGTGAACCGTGTGATGACAAATGGCCACCTTCTGGAGATTGATGTTGAGCCTGACGAGCTTGTTCTTGCTCAATCTTTTGCTTGAGAAGATTCTGATGATAAGCTTGTTGTGCTTGCTGCTGCTGCTGTTGTTGTTGCTGTTGCTGTTGCTGTTGCTGTTGCTGTTGCTGTTGTTGCTGCTGCTCTTGCTGTTGTTCGTTGATAGCAGCGGCAGCACTGGCCACAGCACCAATAGCTGCACTTTCAGTTTCCTCATTTTTATCTTGTCCCTTATCCAGCTTCTTCTCTGATTCGTCATCATGTCCATTTTCAGCCTTAGATTGTCCCTCATGGTGAGCCATCAATTCAGAGTCTATAGCTATATCATCACCATACTTTGCTTGCTTCTTTCCTTCCTCGTGTTCAGAAGTCGATGATCTTTTGGACATTGAGTTTCTACAATACTATTGTTAGTAATCATGTGATCTCATCTATGAACGGGTGCAAAAATCACTTAGTAATTACACAACTGAGAATTGGAGTGTGTGGGTGACGAACTTCCCCTAACACTCAGACCCCAGCTGTGTCATCAACTAAGCCAACTTGTCAACGTACATACCTTTAATTCTTGAGGTAGCGAGTGTTGTGCGGTGTTTTAGTTGCAAAACGTCGTTGCGTGTGTGAGAGCGTGTGTAGTGTGTGTATGTATTGAAAGTGGTAGTTGCGAGAGTTACCCTTGCGAAGTCATACGTTTATCACGTTTTTTTGATTTTTTGATGATGTTTACACTTTGAACAATTACTTTTTTTTTTGTCTTTTCTTTTCTTGTTTTGGCTTTTGTTTTGTGGCATTTGAGCACGACCTTTTTTCCCTTTTTTTGTTTCTATTGGATTTCGTTACGGTGTTGACACCGTAAGAATGACAGCTGACAAAAGAAGTGCCAACGGTGTACCGCACCCTACATTATGGACCGAGACCAACCGGAAAGTGAGCTAATGCCCAGTCTCCTAAGTGGCTTATCTAACTACTAAAGATAATCCGAAAAATTGTCGTCAATGCGAGTTTTTCCGAGATCGGGTAGTGCACACGTGTCTAAGATTGTAGTAGTTGTCTGTCTTAACTATGTGCCAGGTAAAAGGTATGCGCTTATGTAGGCTCCCACGTAAGTGCATATTTTAAAAGGAGTATGCGTTTAAAAAGTCTCGGAATTTAAATTCCAACCAATCATTATGGAAATTACACAAATGCACAACCGGAAATCAGGTCATTATAACTGCGAATGACAGCCATGCGAAGAACTAAAGTGAAAATAAAACGGACTACAATACTACAGTTTTATCTGAAGACCATCAGCAATCGGATTACTGCTGGCCAGCCTTGAGATGTCAATTGAACCTTCCATTAAACGTTTTTCCCTAGATTGTATATAAATAGGGTATCCTCCCCACACCAAAGCCAATCGTTAGAATACAACATTTAACAATAACAAATACAAAACACACTAGAACACTACATCACAACTACTATGTCTGAAATTACATTAGGAAGATATCTTTTTGAAAGATTGCACCAATTAAAAGTTGATACCGTCTTTGGTGTCCCCGGTGATTTCAATTTATCCCTTTTGGATAAGATTTACGAAATCGATGGTATGAGATGGGCAGGTAATGCCAACGAATTGAATGCCGGTTATGCTGCTGATGGTTACTCGAGAGTTAAGGGTATGGGTGCCATTGTTTCCACTTTTGGTGTTGGTGAATTGTCCTTGACAAATGCCATTGCTGGATCCTTTGCCGAGCATTGTGCCATTTTGAACGTTGTTGGTGTTCCTTCAGTCAATGCTCAAGCCAAACAATTGTTATTGCACCATACTTTGGGAAATGGTGACTTCACCGTTTTCCACAGAATGTTTAAAAACATTAGCCATTCCAGTGCTTTTATTTCTGATATCAATAGCGCTCCAAATGAAATTGACAGATGTATCAGAGATGCTTATGTTTATCAAAGACCAGTTTATGTTGGTTTACCATCAAATTTGGTTGATATGATGGTCCCAAGCTCATTGTTGGAAACACCAATTGATTTGTCGTTGAAACCAAACGATGCAGATGCTCAAGAAGAAGTCATTGAAACTGTCGAAAGACTCATAAAGGAAGCCAAGAACCCGATTGTTCTTGTCGATGCTTGTGCTTCAAGACACTCTTGTAAACCAGAAGTTGCTAAATTGGTTGATTTAACCCAATTCCCAGTATTTACTACTCCAATGGGTAAATCAGGTATCAATGAATCGCACCCTAGATTCGGTGGTGTATACGTTGGTTCTTTATCGCGACCAGATGTTAAAGAGGCAGTCGAGAGTGCTGATTTGATCTTATCAGTTGGTGCTTTGTTATCAGATTTCAACACTGGATCATTTTCTTATGCCTACAAGACCAAGAATGTTGTTGAATTTCATTCCGATTACACCAAGATCAGACAAGCTACTTTCCCCGGTGTTCAAATGAAGGAAGCTTTACAGAAATTGTTGCAAACTGTCGCCTCTTCTATCAACCCATCATACACACCAGTTCCAGTGCCACAACAAAAGTTGGTTAACTCACCAGCTCCTCCAAACACGCCATTGACTCAAGAATACTTGTGGACAAAGGTGAGCTCCTGGTTTAGAGAAGGTGATATCATTGTAACTGAAACTGGTACTTCAGCTTTTGGTATTGTACAATCTCGTTTCCCCAACAACACCATTGGAATTTCACAAGTGCTTTGGGGCTCTATTGGTTACACAGTTGGTGCTACATGTGGTGCAGCCATGGCAGGTCAGGAAATTGATCCAAACAGAAGAGTCATTTTGTTTGTCGGTGATGGTTCATTACAATTGACAGTTCAAGAAATTTCGACCATGTGTAGATGGAACTGTAACAACACCTACTTGTTTGTCTTGAACAATGACGGTTACACTATTGAAAGATTGATTCACGGTGAAAACGCAACATATAATGATATCCAACCATGGAACAACTTGCAACTTTTGCCATTGTTTAATGCCAAAGACTATGAAACCAAGCAAGTTAGCACTGTGGGCGAATTGAACGATTTGTTCCTGGATAAGGCCTTTGCTAAACCGGACAAGATTAGAATGGTTGAAGTGATGTTGGCTAGAATGGATGCTCCAGCTAATTTGGTGGCACAAGCTAAGTTGTCAGAGCAAACTAATGCCGAAATATAAATTGATGTTATAGGCTTTGAAATAATTACTTTAATAGAGAGGATTCTTGATAGAGTTGCAAACAGGTTTGTTCTCTGTTCTTTCTTCAGTTTGGATGAATCTTGTGTATTTTCGGACATCTCCGTGCATCAAAAGCAGGAAATTATTTTGGAATTCGTGGTGGCTGTATCCCACAACGAACCAGTTTTAGGATTTATAAGAGGTGCCAGGGCACTGTCAGAGATGGACTGTGTCACGAACCAAGGGTGGTAAACTTCAATCTGCATTATCGTACTTTTTGGGTTCATCATTGCAAAAGTTTTGACGCTGTTATAGACTTTTGCTCATGAGAAGACGGCTTGATAAACACCTCACGACATGAGTTGATGCCTTATCACAGGATAGAGGCATAAGAAGAGGAGTATTAGACCTTGTGATTGTTTTCTCGTAAATCATACAAGCAATCTTTTTGTAGGGATCGGCATCATTGGCATTTTAATCTCTGTTGCCATCATCATCATCTTCCCCATATGGGGCAGGCAAAGCTTGTGGTGACTGATCCACCGGACTTAATCAAGGTTTATCTCAAAAGGGGTATTTTGTGAATTCGGGGTAACCCTTTATTTCCTGTTTTTTTGTTTTTGCAGCTGGCGGCCCGGCAAACTTGTTTGGTTAAGAAAGGGTAATGTAATCTTGCATATTTCCTTTGTGGTAGCTTTTCATTTCGGATATCGCCGTAAGGCATTTTCTGTTGTGTGGTTTTGTGGTTTTGTGGGTTTGTGTTTGTTTCTATTTTGATAAAAATGCGCCTTTCTCCAATCAGAAAGTTTCCTGAGAGTTACAAAAAGTGGAAATCAATACAGAACAAATATTTGGGAATCACTGGGAGTTGTCGGGTGTACTACGTATATGAGCTACGTAGCGTCTCAAGGATGTGATTAGAATCGAATAGAGCGTTCTAACTAGGGTATCGCACACGATAACGAAAGTACGTTTACTATTTCTTCTCATTTTTTCTTAAACAGAGAGGTTTATTGTTTTATTGTTTTTTAAAAGTGGTGTTCAGTACAGCGGTTATATATCTGAATATTTTAGACAGAGAATGACTTTTTCGTTTACTTTTTCCCCATGTTTCATCCCTCCATGTACACCCCTCTTCTTCTTCTTCAATATAGATCACCCACCCCTCTCGTTTAACGCGTGGTAAGGGAACCAGCCTCCTCAATTATCATAACCATTTTTTTACTTGAAGAGGTTGCAAACTGAAAATTCTCCTCTACGTGTTAGAAACGTCTCTTCCGTAACTCCTTTCTCATAAGCCTTTTTTCCATAATTTCTACTATTTGCTCAATTTTGTGTTATCTCTTTTCTATTGCTCAATTAATTTGTCCATTATGATGATAAGAGAGAGGGAGAGAGAGAGAAAGACGTTTACAATAAAGCTCCAACCACTCATCATAATCAAACATAATCCGCAGCACAAGAAAAATAAGACAATAAACAGTTGATGGAATTAGTTTGTAGATAACACAATGTAGTAGACTATCCCTTTCTTTTAACTTTAGTAATGCTTATTATATTATCCAATATTGCTTTTAGTAAAACTAGGCTGAAGTTAATATTTTCTTAAATTAATATATATATTTAATTGCAATCTTTTTCGTTCCAATTCGTTATCTTTTTTTTGATTTTTTTTTTCACTTTTTTAATTTATTTTATATTTAATTGCCTTTTGAAAAATTTAATCCTTTATCAAAAGGGCTTATATTAAACTTATATCTATTCACCGGGGTTCTTTCGGTCAGATCCATCACAAAAGATAACAATACAATCTATTTATCTTTCTATCAAATTTACTGATAACCGAATCTAATACACTGACACAGAGTCATTCACAAATATATATATAAAGCGAAGACATATACCGCTTTGGAGTCAATCGAAAGTTAAACTTCTGTTGTTTTTGTTTAACTTTTTCTCCTCATCAGTGTCATTTCGCAACTATATATATATACCTCATTGATCAGTTGGATATAGACGCCGAAACTTTAACCCAAACTTCTACCACCACCACACTCCCACCACTAATACAAACTTCAAAATTATTTCACCCCTTGCATATATACCTATACAAGATTTTATTTTTTTCAAACTCAATCAGTCGCACATACATATAATATCTCACATAAAACACAATGATTGATTTTACAAGGACAATCAAACGAATTTTCCATAAATGGACAACTAAAGATGGTATAATTGGTGACTATGACTACAAGTACTTGTTCGCTCCCGATATCCCTTTTCTTTCCAAAGAAGCTAAAGTGCAGCCCTTTTTTGGCTTAAATTCAGATATGCCACTTTTATTAGGAGCTATCTTGGGATTACAACATGCATTGGCAATGATGGCTGGTTTGGTTGTTCCGCCCGTGTTGATTAGTGTTTCAGCAAATTTACCAACAGAGACTCAGGAATATTTGGTGAGTGCTTCTTTAATTGTTTCCGGTATATTATCCATAATTCAAATTACTCGTTTCCATATTTATGGAACTCCCTACCATTTAGGTACTGGGTTGCTTTCAGTTGTTGGCCCTTCATTTGCTACAATTACCGTCACTTCAAGTGCATTTCCCATGATGTATGCTAATGGTACATGTCCTACGGCGTCCGATGGCACTAAATTACCCTGTCCTGATGGATACGGTATGATCTTGGCTACCGGTGTCGTTTGTGCCTTGTTGGAAATATTGTTGTCGTTCTTGCCCGCTAAAATTCTTCAAAAGATGTTTCCTCCTTTGGTTACCGGACCTGTTGTTATGTTGATTGGTATCAATTTAGTTGAAACTGGTTTGGAAGATTGGGTAGGTGGATCAAGCTGTGTACAAGAAACTTGTACCATGGGTAAATTCTCCAAGCCGTGGGGCTCAGCCAATTTTGTTGGTTTAGGTTTTCTTGTCTATCTTTCCATTATATTGGCAGAGAAGTTTGGTTCACCAATCATGAAGAGTTGTGCTGTTATTTTAGGATTACTTATTGGATGTATCGTTGCTGCTGCATGTGGATACTTTGACTCCAGTCAAATTGATGCTGCCAAAGCAGCTAATTTTATTTGGACGAAAACTTTTAAATTAAAAGTGTATGGACCAATTGTGTTGCCATTCTTGGCAGTTTACCTCGTGTTGATGATGGAGGCTATTGGTGATATAACCGCTACGTCAGATGTTTCGCGTTTGGAAGTTGAAGGTGAGGTTTACGAATCAAGAATTCAAGGTGGGTTGTTAGCAGATGGATGCAATGGTATATTAGCGGGTCTAATGACAGTTACTCCCATGTCAGTTTTTGCTCAAAACAATGGTGTTATTGCTATAACAAAGTGTGCCAATAGAGCCGTTGGTTATTGGTGTGTGTTCTTTTTATTGGTTATGGGAATTTTCAGCAAATTTGCAGGTGCCATTATATCGATTCCTAAACCAGTATTTGGCGGTATGACGTCGTTTTTGTTTTGTTCAGTGGCTGTTTCCGGTATCAAGATTATTTCAGGAACTGAGTTTACTAGAAGAGATAGATTCATCTTGACAGCAGCATTGGTACCTGGTTTGGGTTCAACATTGGTGTCTGATTGGTTCAGTTACGTTTTCACTTATTCCGGTGATAACAATGCGTTATCAGGATTCTTCGATGCTATTGTATTGGTAATGGAAACTGGTTTTGCCATTACTGGGTTTATCGGAGTTATACTAAACTTGATCTTGCCCCAAGTTCATGATGATGTTGAAGAAATCAATGAATTGATTTTAGAAACTGTTGGTTCTGCTGATGAACACGCTAGAGAAGAGTACGCCAGAAAGGAAGGAATCTCACTTGAACAATTAAAGAGTCAATTGTCAAATCCACATGCTCAAAATGTCACTAGTCTAAGGTCATCTGATGGGGTGCCTGATTTGCCATATCCAAACCAGAAATAGAAGTTGTATTGTTGTTTCTTTTGTACTATAGTTTTTGTAAAGTATATTATTATTATGATTTGTCCAGAGAACCGTTATGAATTATACTAGTGTAAGTTAGTAAAGCCGTATCGAATGGAGATTCTGATTTGTCGTCTAACAACTGTGATTCTCGTAAATGTTTTGTTGTTTTCATTGGACCGAGGGTAAAAAAATAAATAAGTTGCAATCGTACTTTGATAGTGCATAATCTACAAAAGCGCATTTTAATACCCGAAAGAGAAGAAGAAAAAAAAAATACTCAAATTAATTTCAAACCCCAGTTCAACAAAATATCAAAACACTACAGTTGCTGAAAATATTTTAAACGCCCAGAAAGAAGAACAAGAACAAGTAGGAACGATCCTCACTAATACCTTGGTACAGATTACAATACAAATCTAACTACTAACTACCCAATAGAATGAGTTTATTGGCAATTTCAGCAATGTCACCTCCACATAAACCCAGAACCACCAAAACACTTCCATTACACTTACTCCTCCAGTTAAACCATCTTTTACAGAAGTCCATATTTAGCAGGAAGTTCTACCAGGAGATCAACGACAAAGTATTGAGCAAAACATCAACTGTTGACCAAAATTTGTACTTTATATGTTACTTTTCCTTGCTTGTTTCATCAATACTCAACAACAAGTACCAAATTCGCGATTTCTTACGTAGTCAACATTACAAATTACTACAATTAATTAAAGGCGGAGCTAATAAATTAAACATTGATACGTCAAATATCAAATTTTTCAATCAACCCAAACCACAACCAACGCCAGAACCACAACAAAAACCATCAAAATTGGCCTATCATTTGAAAAAGATTAATCTGTATTTAGCCGATGTCAGAATCTTCAATAGATTAACTGACTCTATCAAATATATGCCCTGGTTAATCGATGAATACCATGCCTGGCGCAACCCTGGCGCAGCTAGTCCCAAAATTGATCGATTCATCAATATGATCCAAGCATTAAACTGTATTGTTTTGGAATTATTCGAAAATGCCGGTTGGTTAACTGAACATGACTGGGTGGGAACTGGCGATAACAATTACTGGTGTATTGAAACTTATATCTGGTGTTGTCGCGTTTGGGGCGCTTATTTACTTATCGAAATTGTCGAAATGTTGAGAAGAACTCCCGTTAGTAAATGGAGTAATAAAAATTGGCAAATCTCGTTGTTCAAGAATGCTGTCCAATTGCCCTTGGTTTTACATTGGTGTTTAAGAGATGGATGTTTGACTCCATTTTGGGTGGGTCTTTGCGGTTCCGGTGCCTCTTGGTGGAATTTTAAAGATATGTGGCTGTCAATTGATTTATCATAGACTCTTCAAAATAGACTTTTTTTACCACTTACGTAAACTTGATTTTTCCTCATTTATTTATTTATTTATAGTACACGATACATTGTTTACACAGTTGAAATTGATCACCATCGTCCTTCGCTCATATCAACTTAGTCGTATGCTGCTTGACGGTCGGCTTTGGCAGCTTTTCTTTCCATTTCATCCCAATCTTCACCACTTTCTTCACTCTCGGCTTCACTACCACTTCCACTTCCTGAAAAATCGCTTTCTTCGTCACTACCGTACTCTTCACTTTCTTCACTTTCATCTTGTGGATCTTCATCACTTGCTTCAAAGTCACTTTCCTGTTCTTCTTCTTCACTTTCATCTGATTCTCCAGTACCGGTCAAGAACGACCATCCACCATCCAAAAAGAATTGATAAGGATCAGCTTGAACCGTCTTGATAATTTGAGCCCAATTCAAATTCATTTGACCTTCACTAATTGGAATATCAACGTCTGTTAACCAATTCTTGACATCTTCAAGCAATTCCATAGGAATAGTATTTATATGAACAACTGGTTTAGCAAAATCTTTAAACACAAACACTAAATCAAAATTCTTTAATCCAAATTGAACTCTTTCCAAATGCGCAATTTCAACTTCTTCCAACGCTACAACCAAATATGGAGGATCAATCAATTGCACAAGACAGTCTCTAGTAGGAATACACAACACCGAGGATCTGAAAGGAACACCTTGAAAACCCAATTCTCTAAATGGGATATCCAAATCAACAAGCCCATTAGAACTGTCGGCAATAAGTTCAGCAAATTGTTTAAACTCTCTATCCAACAAGGCCTTTCTTCTCCTTTCTTCTTGTTCTTGTTGCAATTCGTCCTCATCACCATACCTATACTTTCTTTTCCTACCTCCAGTTTCGTCAAACGCCATATCACTAGCTTCACGGTAAAATTGCACATCAAATGTCTTTCTCTTTCCAATCATTATAGGATTCTTCAAATGACAATGTATGAGAACAATCAATTCATCCTTGCATGGTTGGAAAAATAGATTCTTAATGTTGGAAAACAATATATCAATCTTTTGGTCCATTTTGAAACTTGACTGATAACGCAACCCATTATCATGAATTTGCAATACACCACCAATTTTCTTGGTATCGGGCGTAGGTCTTACAAACACATTTTCCAATTTCTTCATTCTCGAACCTTTCAACTCTACAAGGTTTGCCTGCACAACAACATCAGCCATTTGCTTCTTTTCTTGTTCTCTCTTGACAGAATCCTTTTTCAAATCTTGAATTGCTTTGAAAACATCAACCATACGATCACGATCTTTAGATCTAACGGTGATCGATCTTAAGAATGTATTGTCAGGCGAGTCTTCATACGGCAACTCTGCTCTTCTAGTGACATTACCTCCAGCTCCTGGAGAGTTAAAGTTTAATCTGAGATATGTGTACTCACCTTCTTCATTTTGAGAACCACTCTTATAAGCATTGATGTGGAATGGAACTGGTCTCCCTGAAATTGGCAATATAATCGTCTGGTTTTTATAATCAATATGGATCTTCAAGTCAGCCACGCTGCTTGGAATTTGGGATTCACGCACATATGATTCGTATTTTTTGAAAATTGGCTTGTAATCAGAGGCATCAGTAGCATCAGCTTTGGAGAATCTTGCCAATCCTTCCTCAGTTCTCTTTTCATGCAATTTCATTTGGGTTTCTTGTCTAATCTTTTCAGCATTCTTGTCATCGTCATTGACATTCTGATGCCTGGTTTTATGTGAGTGATCGAGGTCCTCAACCGGTTTCCTCTCGGGCTTTACCTTTTTTTCATCATCTTCATCATTGAAATAAAACGACACATCCAGTTGCGCCTTTGGGTAATTTGTCAACAAGATTGGCTTATCAACACTGATTTTATACGTGTCTGTTAAAAGAATGGAATAGGTTTTGTTTTTGTTTGGCAAATTTTGAAATCCAATGGTTAAGGAAATTATTTGACCATCAGTTAATACTCTTTCAGATTTGGCATTCAAGATGAAAGTCGAGTCTCTAAATTCAATTCCAATTAACCAACCACAATTTTTGGTAAACTTGTCAGCCAAATCGGGTCTTTCCTTTTTGATATATTCCAAGGCATCTTGATACACCTTGCTTGCCTTGACACCACTTTTCAACAACTCCCCGGCAATGTATTGTTGCAATTTCAACAAAAACCCGTAATTATTTTCCATCTCTTTCGATGGATCAATTAAAAAAGTTCTTCCAACATTGGCACAATAAGATTTATACCTCAATCCAATCGATGACAAAATAACACCATCACCAACCAACACTTTCTCGTTTGAAATTGCACTAGGTTTTAAATCAAAATCACTTCCACTTTGAATAATTGGTGAATAACACCACTCCAAAAATTCCGGATCAAAACCCTTGATTGGTTGTAGCAAACTCTTTCCCAATTTAGTCTTCAAGTACCATTTGTTGTTGTCAATTTTGTCCTCAATTTGATCAGTCAATTGTGAGTTGGTGACTCTTTTCTCCTCGTCAACAATTGCAGTCATGTCATTAACAAATGTGTCCATCATGGCCACACTCGCATTTGAAGCAATTTTAGTATTTTCAAATTCTTCTGAATCCTTAATTTCCATTGCTTTTGATAATGCTAACCCCAAGTCAACAACTTTGAACCCGGAATCCTTGCTTGCCTCAGTCCACTCCTCGACAAACTTTCCTTCATACTTATCCTTCAAAACGGTTCCGTATTCATCACCCACTTTTTTCATATCAGCAATCACATCAACAAACAACTGCTTGTTTCTTTCTGGGTCTTTAGTTCTAGTCCATAGTTCTACTGTATCTGGCTTATTGGTCAAGCCTTTCAAGTATTTTGCTTTCCCTTCAGACGTGATGAAGATGCATCTCGAGGGCGACACATAAATTGCCGTATGCACAAATTCGTAACCCAATAACCAGTTTTGTAAAACAGTCGATTTCTTGTATGTATTGTCATCATTACGTGCACCAACAATGACCAATCCTTGCGGGATTGACTCATCCGCTAGAGTCTTTTGCAAGATTGCCAACCTTTTATAGAATAAGTTGGCGTCAATATGAACGTCTGTCATCACACGCGTGTTGTTGTAAAAAGATTATCTCACTAGTGCAGGCGATGTGGTAGCTATAAAATCAAATGAGCAGTCCCAATCGGATTAAACAATGATTAAGATATTTCTTTGATAAACTTTGGAATGTTGCCAGCAATGATAGACCTTTTGTTAAGTTTGGCAAAATAATTTCACTTCTCGTTCCTTTTGGTTGACGAAAAAAGTCCAAAAAAAAAACTTTGCATTGGTGTCGTAAAATGAAATGTTATGACATATACACGAAAGACGCGTAGAGAAAACGCGTTTTTTCTTTTCCACTCCAAACATAAACAAAAATATCAAATATGTTCTATAAATTCCCTTCTTTTTTCAGACTTCACTTTCAAGTCAATACAGTTCAGCACCAACCTAACTAGTTATTAATGTTTAGACAAGTAAAGAGAAAAACAGCTGGTAGAAGAAATTTTGAGGACAAAAAGTTCCCAACTTCAGCTGAATATACCCTACCGAAGTTGTATTCATCGAGATTGTCATTCTACGATTTACCCCCAAATCAAGAGATTACATTGGAAGAGTTTGAAAAATGGGCTATTGATAGGTTAAAGATTCTTATTGAAATTGAGTCATGTGTCGCTAGATCGTCATCTCAGAAGGATGTTGAGCTTGCTTTAAAGCCACTTTTGCTCAAGTATATGCCATTGAGTCCCAATGGAGATGAAAAAACAATGATCCAGGAACGTATGAAGGATTACTTTAGTCATTTTATTCTTCGTTTGGTTTTCTGTCGAACAGAAGAGTTGAGGAAAAAGTTTATCAAGAATGAAACCATATTGTTTAGGATTCGGTACAATTCAATGCAACCTAAAGAGCAACAAGAATTTATAGAATTGAATCTGTACAAGTTGTCATGGTCTTACATTTCCAGAGAAGAGAAGCTGGAGTTGATTGATAAACTTTTTGCTGCTAGTTGCTCCATGTTGAAGCAGCAATACACTTCCGAAGGTGATACAAATATAACCAATGATCATATAAAACAAATCATGGTTAGTAAGGAGAACTTTATAAAGTTACCCTTTGAGAAACTTAGTTCATTGGTATCGGCTAGATCTGTTTATTTGCAAGGTGGGTACGCCTATTTACCAACAAGCTTGCAAATGAACTTGTTAGCTACCGAATTTCAAGAAAACTTGAATGACATTTTAATTAAAACGTTCCAAGCGATTCCAAGATTAGAGGAAGACGACAGACTTTTACCTTTGCTTAATCACTTGTCACGCAACTTTTCCAACTTCCAATACGAGACTGACATCAATAGTGAACTCGCATCTGACATTAATGCATTGTCCATTACTTCGAAACAAATCATGTCCCATTACCCTCTTTGTGCCACCCACTTGCAACGTAATTTAATGGCCACATCACATTTGAAATATCTTGGACGTCAACAATTGGGAATCTTTTTAAAGGGAATTGGCTTAAACGTTGACGAGGCTGTCAAATTCTGGGCTCAACAATTTACCAAAAATGGAAACATGACACAAGAAACATTTAACAAGAACTACAAGTATAATGTTCGACACCAGTATGGTCTTGAAGGTGCAAGAATCAATTATAAGCCCTGGGATTGTGCCACCATTTTAAGCAAACCTAAACCAGGTCCCAAAGAATATCATGGTTGTCCATATCGTGACTTTTCCGAATCGCAACTTAAAACCAGTCTAGACGAAATGGGGATCAAGAACCAACAAGATATGAATTCTATCATGGATAATGTCAATAACCATGATTATACTATTGCCTGCACCAAAGTTTTTGAATTGACTCACCAAAAGGAAATCATGAATGCGGCGAAAGTACAGGGTCACCCACCACAATTGGAACATATCAACCATCCTAATTTGTACTTTGACAGGAGCAGACAGTTGGAGAGATCCGAATTGAAAAAGGATGACGCAAAGGAAGATTAGATTAGATTTTGAATTGTGTGTAAAAAATTAATTTATCTATAAATTTTCTATAAAGTATAAGAATTAAATTCAAAAGAATTGTACAACTCTGTCATTGTCGATTGTTCAAATGTTTCCGGTTCGTGTTCCTTCTCCTTTTTCACGTTTTCTAATGACTTATCATAGAGCAACCGCAACTGCTTAACTCGTTGGGCCCAGTTGGATACGTATTTTCCTGACAAGTCACTAGCATGCCATACATTGGCAAATTCGCTGGCTAAAATCGCAATTCCTCGAACGAGTTTGGGTAACTGGTCCTCGCTCACGAGTTTAAAATGACAAGTGGCAAAAATAGCAGGAACCCCTGCTCTTCGAAACGTCTTCACTTTGAAGAATTTTCGTCCGTGTTGAGAAGTATTTAGTAACGATGTTGATCGTTTAGTTTCTATTGCTTGTGGAGATATAACAATGTTTAGGAAATTGAATTGACTCTTGATTAAATTAAAATTAAAGTCTTGATTGCCTGATTCATCAAAGAATATATTGACATAGTTATTTCCAATATGGCGCTTCTTCAAGTCGATGACCTTTTGGTTTTCAATAGTGCTTGAAATTAAACCATTACTTAGAGGCGCAGATGGGTCTTCACGATGCATCATTGTTGTTATGTGGAATATCACTTGCGTCAATTTACTACTCCAATATCTTGCATACTCTCCATCCAAATCGAGCTCGGTATCTAATCCGCCAGTGTATATATCTCTACTATTCTTCAATTTAACAAGATAACCAATCTTGTCCAAGAACTTGAGGTAGTCCAAGGAGCCAACTTTGTTTAAAAATACTTCATTTTCCGTCGACTGATTTTCACCAATGTATACAATACCGATCTTGTGAAACTCGACACTGGGGATGCGATCCAAGACCGATAGTCCTCGTGAGATGACAGTATCCTCCAAGACAGGTATTGGCTTCACTTTGGAATCAAACAACTGCAACAAGTAGTAGTTTGGATCAATCACCTCAGGTGACTTTTTCAGCACCTCGGTTTCATGTTCCAATTTGACAACCAACTTGCTGACTCCAGTAGGCTTCCTGATTAGAATTTCCGTATCTCCAAGATGGACCTCAGTTTCGATGCTCACTACCGAGCATCCAACCATCCATCGGTTGAGTACAGTACGATCGTCGTCGCTATTTTGTCTCTTTTTCGTTGAATTGACAGCTTTCAAAGGCAAATCGCTAAAAGTGAATTTCCTCACAAAGTCCAAAAACCCAACCGTATGATCACCAAGTTGTCCCGACTCGTTCATTTCATCACACGCAATCAATTGTTTAATCAAAAAAGACGAGATCTTCTTTCGCTCACTCATTTCAATTTTAAGAAACCAACTCGATATAACATTGTATGAAAGTATCAAAATGTACTGCAGCATAAAAGATGAAAGGTATTTCGTCTTTGTCGACGGAGTCTTTTCCACTTCTGCATCAACTCCATGCTGTTGCACATTTGGCATTACAGGATGTTCTGAATTTCTCAATGCAGTGTCTCGTGTATATTGGATATACTTGAACGCAATCCCAAAAACACGTTTAAATTCTTCCATGGTGAAATCAGAAACCAAAAGGGGCAAGTGGACCAACGAACTAAGGAATTCCAAAGTGTGCGTACTGGCATTTGCACTAGTAATACGCGTTTGTAACTTTGTCAAGATCAAAGTAAGGTATTTCTTGATCGATAACGGAATTTCGTAGCAACAAATCGTGAGAATGTTTATACATGGAATTGCTGTCTTTTCCCACGAACCTAATCCAAATATCAAGCTCGACGTTATGTGATCTTCATCGGATTTCAGGAATAAATCATGGTAACCGATGAGTGCGGAAAAAGTCCTTACTAATGCCACTTGCAAATCAGCCTTGGTTAAATCACCATTTTTAGGGAATGATAGATCCTGAGGTAATTTCAAGGTTAACTGATCACATGCTATAGTTTTCAACCGAAGTATTTCGTCTTCACAGTGCATAAATAATTGCATATTCGACAATTGGGAACAAAAGTGAGCCCAAACATAAGAGTAGACTTCCCACTCGACAAAGTTCTCCACAATATGCAAAACAATGCCAAACCATTTCTTGATATCAATGAAATAAATTTCCATGCTGTTCTCATTGGTCCTGGGGAATAGAATTTGCAAATTCGCTTGTGGTTTGTCTAGACATTCGCTAGGAATAAAGTCAACTGTTTCAGGATATGTCCACAACTGACCAGCAGTCGGTGAAACATTGTCTCTTTTGAAGGCAGACGCCAACCCAACCATATCTTGTGGGTTAGTGATGTATACATAATTTTCTGCAGTCACCCTTAGCCTGATGAGACATTTGGCAATTGTTAGCAACACTTGTCCATTTTGTGTTGTGTTTGCAATTGATATCAACACGTTATAGCAATCCTGTTTTCTAGATGCAGGTGATATGGCGAATGAAATACAGATAGCCTCAGCTACCTTGACTAAAAATATGGTGGAAACTTTGCTCATGGATTGAGCAGGCTTGGGACTCATGTACCCTCTTGACAAGATGATTTCGTTTCTTGGTGATGCTTTCTTTTCGTAGAATGGTTTCAACAAAGAAGTGAATTCAGAAAATATTTCAGATGAGGATTTAGCAAGTAGTGTTGCTAAAATTTCTTGACATAGGTAGCAAAGTAGGGCCTCATCTGTTTCTTCACTCGATTGTTTTAAAATTTCAAGAAAAATATCATAGTTGTACTTTTTCTGTTCAAACACTAGCATTGACATTTTGAAGGCTTCGTATATTACCTGAAGGCATTTCACTCTCACAGCTGTACTACGATTGGCATAGTAAAAATGGGTCAACAATCGTAATGAAACATCATGCCATATTGGGTTCAACAACGTACAGCTTTTATCTTCCTGGAAACCCTGCAAGACAAATAAAGCAACATCTTCTGACAAGTACGGACTTTTTTCCACAAAACACTGCAACAATTTATCTTTAGGAACTGTCAATTCATGAGATTGATATAAGGTTTTTACTGAATCACACAAGTTCCCCATTAAAACTTTATCCTCATCGTCATTGACTTGGATCGCTTCGAGCACATCAAACAATGAACATCCATCACAGTACCAAATTTGAAATGGAAAGATATCATTGAATAAACCAGCAGAATCTAATTTGAAATACTTTTCGTAAAACAGTCCAGTGAATGCGTTTGCCAACATTTCTAGAATCTTCTTGTTGACCAAATGTATTTTTAAACTCAAGGTGCCTAGAAGAGAGCGCAAATAAAGAAACAGGGGGAATTCGAGCTTACTCTTTTCCAAGCGAAGTCTTACCCTTAGTAGCTCTATCAAGTCCAAGGATCCAAGACAAGTGTAGATGGCTGGAGTAAGTTGATTCTCGTGAGAAAGCTGCCTGAGTGAGGGATCCGAGATTTGACTACACAAAGTAGTACAAATACTTAGCGATGTACCCTCGTCACACATATTTTCAACTGCTTCAAGAGCTCGTTTCTTTAAATTCGGGTCATTTGTTTGCTCATGAGCCATTGCCAAATACTTGATGATTTGAGAAATATTTTCACTTCGTATCTTTCTAAATGAGGTAAAACAAGTCAAAAAGTCAACTATAGCTTGGAGATATAGTTCATTGTTCGTCTGCACGGTGGTCACTTTTGACACAGTCGCATTTGAAAAATCTTGCAATATAGCATGATTGAACTTTAAACAGTTGGTTATAAAGTGTAGCAACTCAATGCAATTGCTAATCAGCAAATCGGTCTGTTTGTTGTCCTTATAGTTGCCACTTGAAACTGAAACAAGGTTATCGACTCCCTTTGTTAACCATCTGATTAAGTTTCTATGGTTATCAAATAGAACGAAATCATGAATATCGTGGCCATCTTTCGACAATAAAGTCAATGCTCTCAAAATTAAAGTGAAATCAGGATCAAATTGGTTCCTCGAAAACAGAGTGTATTTGTAAAAATCATTGAAATATCGAGCCCGAGCGCCAATCGAATTATCGTCCTTCTCAATACAAGTTATGCACAACTTAAAGCCCTGTCGCCTGATGTTGCGTGGTTGCTTGATGTCGCAAAAGTGTCGTACCAAGTACCATATTTCTTGAATAGACGAAATTGAGAATCGCTGGATGCTTTCTGTTAGTTTCTCTAGTGCTTCAAGTTGAGCTGGAGGTGAAGTTGAATCTGATAGTAGCTGATTCAATATTAGTTGCAAGTTTTGGTCTCCTCCAACAACGGTAGGATTGACGGTGATAGGAACATCTCTCGACGTTGATGGTTTGAATGATTTGGTTAAAGATTTAATGACACTTCCTATCCCACTAGACGTGCCAAATGTAGGGTGATGAGTAGACATGGAACACTATGAAAGGTGGGACGTAATTAAGGGTTCTACAGTTATTTTTTTTTTATTCTTCTTTCTGTGATGACAGTTCTAAAGTTTAGCCGAGCTATATTGAGTAAGGATAATCTACAACTCTATCCAACTCACAAACACAATTAATATATTATAAAAGCACCATCTATACTCTAATTCCATCAAAGAACAAAACGTCTAAATGGAAGCCTATGCTGAACGAAGTAAATTAAATCAAACATTAAAACTAAAATAAATCATTAATGGTGGATCAGCCATACAACAAGTCCACAATATAGCAGAAACCACCACCCCATGTAACCTTTTGCAAAATTGTCTTTAACCATCTAGGACGAACCTTGACAAATAGGTTACCACAGTTGTATCCCTCACTTTCTATTCCTACACCCCATTTGATATTTTGTCTGACATTGCATCCGCTCCAGAAATTCCACCATTTGGCACGTTCGCAGGGTACTACCCTAAGTAAATTCTTCATAAGAGGGCCTGTTGGACCATTGATGTATTTGTGCCCACCAATGAATGAATAAGTTTGTCTCTTGTCATCATCTGCAAGTTGTTGGTCGCCCCAGTGTCCTTTAAATGATAACCAATTTCCGTAGCTCCATTCACGTCCTACGTGTTTGGGGTTTGAGTTGTTTGTCGAGGGAAAAATATGCTTTCCATCGTAGGTATATCCAAGATAGTTTCTAGATGGATTCCACAATGGGCCACGGTCAGTAAAGTCACTTAGTATGTCATAAGGCAAATCATGTGGATGTTGACCAACACTTGGATAGTTGGCGTGTGTACCTCTAGCACTGAAAATGACTGGATGTCTTGGGTCTAATGCGTATTTTTCTAAATTGTGGTAATAAAATGCACCTCCACCACCATGTGCTGACATCCAGACAATGACTGGTTCCCCTTTGTAGAACCTCACCAATGAATGTTCCCAATCTCCTACATGGTTGCCATATGGTCCTTGACCCATCACAAAGGGACCCAAATTGAACGAATAAAAGTAAAACCAGTATGCATCAACCCAACCAAAACCTTTGTCGACAACTATTAAAGTTGCAGGAGCATTCTTGATTTCTCCGTTGATTAAGCTAGGCTTATTTTTGACTCCAGTAATCCAGTCGGGATCTTTGTCGAAATCGGAGTTTGACGTCAAAAACAAGTCACAAGAATGTTTGAGTTTGGATAATTTGTCCAAATTCATGTCCTCCTCGGTGCCCGGGTACACCGAACCATTTTCAAACGTCACATGAAAGTTTGTAACGTACTCGCCGATATCATAAGGGAGATATCTTTCTTCACTGTACAAATGCACCATTGGCGCGTAGTCTATTACATATTGAGGAATGTGACCCTGTTCCAACGTCCTTTGAGTCTTCTTTGGTGAACTGACCAATGGTGGAAAGTCCTTGTACTTTAAAGGGTTTCTCAAGATGTTTTCAATTTTCATTTCCCTATCCTCATCCTGTAATACGTTGAGTATATAGCTATCTCCATCTGATACATCGAAATATGTCAGACATAAAACAGAAAATGCAAGTATTAGTAGTGCTAATAGTTGTGACAACATGTTTGTTCTTGCTGTGTGATTGCACGTGTGAAATCAATCGGTTGCTTTTGTAGCGAAAGCAGTAATATTATTGAAGCTCTAGCTTAAATTGCTAACAATCTGATAAGTTAGATTATATGACAGTCGTATGAATGAGGTATAAACCTTGCTGTGGTTTAAAAAGAAAGAAACGTGGCTAGCTTTAAGTTGATGAGTTTGTTTGAAAGCTTTGGTTTCTGCTTTTATTTTTATTTCTTTTTATTTCCGATTGTCTTATTTATCTACTGTCCCTTTTTTGTGTCTATTCAATCAGACAGTCATTTCTTTTTAGTTTTGTCTTTTATTTTTCTCTAAATTGCCGATGTATGGAGACAACGGAATCTTTTTGCAGTGTTTTTATTTTTGATTCATACCAGTGCGACATAATTATTCATACCGAAACGACTTTTAAATTTCAAAGTAAACCGACATAAAATTTTCAAACTATACAACAAGCCAACATATTTCCCCAAATTTATCCTGATTGACAAGCCTCGTAATACTTGCTGCTAGACTAAGGTGGCAAGCTTGAGGGCACTAAATAGTAACTTGTTACTGTACCCATTTTTAGTTTTTGGGTTTTAGTTTTTCCTACTTTCATTTCACAAAGGTTTTGCAGTCATTTTCTCCAGTTAAAAGTCGTCCCCTTCTTATTCATTACTTTTGGAAAAAGGATTCATACTCCAGAAAGATTACAGTTCCAAACAATAGTGGATATTGCCACTGGCGTGTCTACAGAGCCCTTGACAACTTTCTAAGGATATATTTGCTGTCGCTTCTCTTACCCTTGGTGTTGGCTGTTCTTTTCTAGATAGACTTACACACTGCCCATAATTCTTCAATGGCATTGAGTCCTGGCGAATAAGGAGGCAAAAACACTAGCTCCATTCCACTCAGTGCTACTAATAACTGGAGATCAAGATGTTTATGGATGGCTGCATTGTCAACTATCAAATACTTGATCTCTTTAAGTGTCTTGTTTGCCTCAATTTCTCTAAGCACAGACTTGACAAATGCACAGAAATGATTGGCTGTGGTGCCAATTTTTGTCTTCTTTTTTTCCGAAACTGTGGCATTGGAATCTATTTTTCTCTTCTTGATAGGGGCAGTTTCGGCTGGAAGTCGAACCTTCAGTTAAATTGTTAATTGGAGTAGCAGAAGACATGGTTTTAATAATAACCTTTAAACTATATATAATCGTTAGAGACTCTATAACAACAACACACAACTTCAAGGGAATTTGCATCCTCATTTATAATCTACATTAATGTATGTTTAGCCTTATGAACGCCCTCAGAACGTTTAGTTAACACACGCTCAAACACATTAAACTCATCAATAATGACTTCCTGTCCGTCACGAATGACCAATATCCACAAAGACAAACAATAAATCCCTTAATCATATGAATGTACTTATGAGACCATTCATTTCACTCTTAGATTATTAATCAATTAACTTCACAAAACACTCTAGATGATTCTAAACTGGTTGCAAATTCTTTATTTTGCCACTCCATAAACAAGTCGTGTTCTTTGACCACGAAGTTAGATCCTTGGATTACATACATCAACATCTTCTTTTTCCAATTTGTATAACCCCTTTCATATCCTATTTCACGTTGGAAACTTTAACATCCTAGTATCTCGGGTAGTTTTAGCGTACCATGAACTGCGCACATCATTATAGAAATTTGAACAAATGCATCTCAAAACAGTAGAAGCGTATTGTACCAATGGGTCAAAGGGAGATGACATTCGGTACAAAGAGCAAACTGCCATCAGTTACTACGGTGAATGTGAAAAATCTTGACCTCTGATTTCTAATATAGGACCCATTTGGATGCTGATTTTATCTCGGTGCCACACAAAAGGACCACTTTTGCAACTTTGTATCACAACCTTTGGTGTTTCCTTAAACTGGCCACTCTCTCTGCCTATATAAAACCATAGTCTCTGGAACATGTTCTACAAATGTCTTGATTCACGTTTTCCGTATACATCATGCAGCTTTCCGACTTGCCTATTGAACTACTCATCAGAGTCCTCCCAATAGAGGATTGTCTTCTAGACTTGCCGAATGAGATCATCATTCCTTGGTTGAATTTGTTGCCCCAGGTGGAACTGTTTAGAATTTTAGGGGATAGTGGATGTGGTATAATGCTTACCAAAGAACGTCCGAAAGCATACACCACCATATCAGGTAAGAGATGCACCAAATATGGAAATTGTTTTGAAGAAGTAGACGCTGCTCTTCGAAAAGTGTTTGAAAAATTTGCCTGCAAGATCTTTATCATAGCTGGACAACCTATTGAAGCCAAATATTACAAGAAGTATATAATATTTGACTTTGAAACAGTGAAGAATTTGATTTGTGAATACTATCCTTTACTGAGCTGCCTTGGAGTTTGGACAGGGTGTGATCTACAAGTTGTTAATCTATGGACTCCTTATTTTATGTGGAATGTGTATGAGGGTTTAAAAAAATTGAGTGTTTTCCACCCTTCAAGGTTTCATGTGGCTCCTGAATTAATAAAGTTTTCCAACTCTTGGTTTAACGACAATGAACTATTGAGTCAATGGGTACTATCTACCTACCAAGATTGGGTGCAGTGGATTGAAAACTTGGAGATAGTCATGTCTGTTGATGAATTTATTGAAATGAAAAGCAATGTTTCGTATATGGTTAACCTTTTACAACCTAAAGAGGTGAGGATACACTTGAATTTGGTTGAAAACAGAGCAGGAGGCGAAGAAAGCACAAAACATCCAACCGATTTTCCTATCGAATGGGTCACTGATTTGTTCGTTGTAAATAAGGTTCAGATATTTACTTTGCATTATTTTGAATCCCACACCACATTTGATGGCCTTGGCAAATTACTACGGGAAATGCCCCTACTCTTGGAGCTCGATCTAAGCTTTGGAAAGTTGGACCTAGAGAATGTTGCAGGG